ATACTATAGATCAGACACTGTGAGTATATAACACACTATAGATCAGACGCTGTGAGTATATAACACACTATAGATCAGACGCTGTGAGTATATAACACACTATAGATCAGACGCTGTGAGTATATAACACACTATAGATCAGACGCTGTGAGTATATAACACACTATAGATCAGACACTGTGAGTATATAACACACTATAGATCAGACGCTGTGAGTATATAACACACTATAGATCAGACGCTGTGAGTATATAACACACTATAGATCAGACACTGTGACTATATAACATACTATAGATCAGACACTGTGACTATATAACATACTATAGATCAGACACTGTGACTATATAACATACTATAGATCAGACGCTGTGAGTATATAACACACTATAGATCAGACGCTGTGAGTATATAACACACTATAGATCAGACGCTGTGAGTATATAACACACTATAGATCAGACACTGTGATTATATAACACACTATAGATCAGACGCTGTGAGTATATTGCACACTATAGATCAGACGCTGTGAGTATATTGCACACTATAGATCAGACCACTGTGAGTATATAACACACTATAGATCAGACCACTGTGAGTATATAACACACTATAGATCAGACCACTGTGAGTATATATAACACACTATAGATCAGACCACTGTGAGTATATAACACACTATAGATCAGACCACTGTGAGTATATATAACACACTATAGATCAGACCACTATGAGTCTATAACACACTATAGATCAGACGCTGTGAGTCTGTAATACACCATTGATACGACCACTCTCTTCTCATTGTGAGTATATAACACACACACACACACACACACACACACACACACACACACATATATATATATATACATATATATATATAAAATCTGATCTCCTGTGGTCTTGTGTAAATTCTGAGATCAGTTAAATGAATGCTGTCGGTCATCTGAGGACATCAGGGGTTTGACCACAGTGTCGGTCAGCATTATCTGCTATCACAGGAACATCACTGTACACTTAGTTTCTGAACAGGCCGTATCAGATCTGGATCTGCTGGGTAATGCTCCATTACGAGTTTGGCTTCCACTGATTATCAGACGAGATGATGCAGATAAACTCTGCCGCTTGCTGTTTGCATTAATCCCTCATTCTGTCTGTTCTAGTTGAGTTATATTAGACGCACTAATGTGCTGCTGCTGTTGTTGTTTATGCTGAGTTGTTGTGTGTCTGATGTTGTTTGTGTTTGTCTTTCAGTTTGGTCGGTGTGTGCTGATTTCCCAGAAGTCTTTGGGGGTGAGTACAACCATCCAGACATACGGTCTGAACCGCTTCCAGAGTGATTTATCAAGGTTTACTTTATCACATTATCTTCTGCATTAAACTAACTGTGTGTGTGTGTGTGTGTGTGTGTGTGTGTGTGTGTGTGTGTGTTGCTGGAGATGCGCGGTGCGCTGGTCAGACACTACAGCCGTCTGTTCCATGTGTGTTCGGGGAGGATCTCGCAGACGCTAACATAATTCAGCATGCTAATAAAGACGCTCGGCATTGTGGGGGAGCAGAAGATTAAACGCACACATTTCCATCTGCCCTGCCCGACCTCCTCCACCCGTTCTCCATCAAAGCCTGGGGAGCCTGCGCCCTCCGCCAGTCGTTTGCTGATTCCTGGAGAGGCTTTGATCAGTGTGTGTTTCATCAGTGTGTCTACACGCGCTTTACAAATCTCACAAACACTCGCCGCGCTCCCACAATGCATCAGTCACACAGGCACGCGGATCGCTATGTGTGTGCGGCGGGAGATCTGCAGCTGATTGGCCTGAATATTCTCATATGAGTGATTTAATTGGAGATGAAGTTCCTCCACTTAATTATTCCCCCATTGGCAGATCTCTGTCTGGTTTTCTTCTTGAATGTTGACTCTGTGTTGTATCTGTGTTCTGCTCGTCTTCTTGGTTTAGGAATATTCAGATATTTGGTCTGGAAGTGATCATCACTGCACAGATGTCTGCTGGTGTCGTTTAGCTGAGTGTAATTCTGTAGCTCATCGTCATGTGGATGATGACTGTCAGTGTCTGCTGCACACAGTTGATGTTATCGATGAACAGAAGCTGGTCTGCTATTGGCTGTCAGTGAGGGGTTGCTGATGTGTGATTGGTCAGTGGGGTTTTGTGGGCGGGGTTTAGCGCAGGTCTCCTCGCTGCACAGAGCTGGTGTGGAGGGTGAAGTGAAGGTCAACACTGCTGTAAACCTGCGCTCGTGCTGGATGATGAGGGTCTGATGTGTTTATTCACCTTCAGCACAAACACCTCAGCCAGCATCTCACACTGCCACAGCCTGACATGACATGAGCTATTATTCTGAATATTAGAAATGGAAGGGGTGACACGGTGGCTCAGTGGTGTCGCTCTGTGGCCTCACAGCACTCAGGTCTCTGGTTTGAGTCTCGGCTGGGTCAGTTGGTGTTTCTGTGTGGAGTTTGCATGTTCTCCCCGTGTTG